TATTTTTCATTACATGTTTTTACTTTATTTTATATTATTATTATTTTTTAATTTGCATGGCCTAATAATGTACCCATAAGTCATATTTTGCTATTAGTGAATTAAACATGTCTATCTTGAATTCAGATGTGCTCAAGGTGTAAATTTTTCACACTGGATTTCACTTAAGGTATCAGAGGATGAACACACATTATCCAAATATACAAAGAACAATTGTGCAAAAATAACAAACTTAGAAGGTCTGAATCTGTCTCTTTCCTTTTCTTCTGTATCCCTCCATGTTACCTTGAATTGAACCCAGGGCCTCAGGCATGCTAGTAAAATGTTCTACTTGGGAGGCTGAAGCAGATAGAGATGGAGGCCATTGTGGGCAACTTAGTGAGATATTGTCTCAAAATAAAAATTAATATGTGGGGATATATAGACACCCTCTGGGCTCAATCCCCAGTATCATTAAATAAATAATTAAGGCAAAAATTCTTCCTAAAAGTAAGGTGACATAGATCTCCAAGTTTATTACAGAATAATCAAAATATTTATTAGAGTAATTAGTCAGATTTTCTACAAATAAATCCAGAGAGTCATATCAGTACAAAGAAAAGTTTTTTAATAAGAACCCAAATTTGATTGCCCACAGAGTAACTTCCTAGCTGTACGACTTTATGCAAGTCCTTTACTATTTTATAGTGAAATCTGTATAGACATTTATTTCTGTTAAAGGAGTAATTTGATTAAAACTTCTTACCTCATGGTGTGTGAGAATATATATGCAAATACATAAGCTCTGCCCATAATACAGGACAGGCTGTCAATAGAGCACAGTCAGTATTATTCTGATATAATTTTAAACTATAACCAAAGGCAACATTGCAACAGAACTGTTACAGTTTGGATATGAGTTGTCCTCTAAAGCCTCATGTGGGAGACAATGCAAGACGTTTCATAAGAGAAATAATCAGGTTATGAGAATCATAACCCAATCATCGAATTAATCCCCTGGTGGATTAACTGAGTGGTAATTAAAGGCAGTCAGGTAGCATGTGGCTTGAAATGGTGAGTGATTGGGAGCCTTATTTGGGGATATATATTTTGTATCCGGTGAGTGGAATCTCCCTCTGCTGCCTGATAACCACATAAGCCTCCAGCACACTCTTTTGCCATGATGTTCAGCATCACTCAATCCCTGAGGAATGGAGCCAGCTTTCTAAGGACTGAGGCCTCTGCAACCATGAGACTTCAAATAAACTTCCTCCTCTACAGTTATCCTCATCAAGACTTTTAGTCACAGAAGTAAAAAAGCTGATGAAAAGAGAATTAGTCTTTCATTCTTTGTGCTTTTTCTATTTACTTTATTATAGTATTCCCTGAGACTGTGTAGGGATGCCTATTTTAATAATCTTCCACTACTGTCTGCTTTTTTAGTGGCTTTTTTTCCTTAGGGGAGAAGTTCTCCATCTAAAAGAACAAATATTAGCAAACTTATTGCATTGGTGTCATATTTTCAGCACTAGATTTCAGTAATCTTTCTTATTTAATATTTACTAAATGTGGTATTACACATTGTCTTTTTTTGTAGTGATGAGAATTGAACCCAGGGCCTTGTGCATGTGAAAGCAAGTACAGTACCAACGGAGCTATATCACCAGACCCCAAACATTGCATTTTAAAAGTGCTTCAATAAAAGAAAGAAGACACATACAAACAAATGGATGCTGATTTCTAATAAAATTATTTTCTATTAATTGGTAAATGTTCATTTTGCAAAATTTATTTACAAACATAGCAAAAAGTAAAATCTATAAATCATTTTTATAAGCTTACCATACTGAGTAAATTACTGCTAATATTTTAATATTGTATGATATTTATGGATTTTTGATGTTTTC